AGGGAGGGGGGAGCGGGGAGGGAGGGGGAAAAATGAGGACCTGATGCCAGGGGCATAAGTGGAGAGCAAATGTTTTGAAAATGATGAGGGCAACGAATGTACAAATGTGCTTTACACAATTGTTGCATGTATGAATTGTGATAAGAGTTGTATGAGCCCCTAATAAAATGATTTTTTTTAAATGCTAAATAAGAATCAGGAAGAAAAAAAAAAAGAAAATAGGGACATACCAGTGACAATAACTGGGTTGACAAGATAATCTCCAGTGTTCATCTCCCTAGAAGGAAGGCATGGTCATGCAAAGGGAGAGGTCAGGGAAGACACCCAAGCACTTTCTCCTGAGCCCACTGGTCCACATTCTGATCTTCAGAATTAGCTCCATGAGTGAGGATACCTAGTTCTACCCTCCCATCCCAACTTATCCAGTGTACTGCCTGGTGAAGGCAAGTGACAGGGCCAGGTCTAGTCCTAGAACAGAAATGAGAAGCAAGCATTCTGGATTAAAGCCCAGGAGTCCTACTTGTGAGAGAAGCAGTGGCTGTTGGTTGACGACACTGTGAGAAGGCAGGCCCAGGGGCCATTTCCCAGGGCAGCTGTGCCAAGCACAATCCAGAGATGGGGCATTCTGCCTGCTACCACCCCAGTGTCTTTTGTCCCAGCCTCTCCAGTCAGCTTTTTGTTCCTGGTTATGGAAGCTCTTTCATGCCACAGACAAAGGGCCGTAACAATCTCAAATGACTTCTTTGTTGGTGACAGTTTACTATAGTTACATTAATTACTATTCTGGTTCTAGCATGGTCAAACTCCTGACTTGTATCCAAAGATAATAATTATAGCCTATATTTTCTCAGAACCTGTCAAGAGAAGAGAACAATTCATAAGAGCAGGTCAAATGTTTCTCTCAAAGAACCCTGAGGGATTCCCATGGCAGAGAGCCTAGAAAAGGCCCAGGAACAGCACCCCAGTGAAGTTCTGCATATTGGACCCTACTGCCAGTGTCAGTGTGTGCTTGGGGTCACCCGGCACTAGCCAGCTGCCAGCTTTCCAACAGGTGGAGAGAAGGTTTCCTTTCTAAGACACTAAAGAGTCACTACACCAATTGTCTCTTATTCAAATGGTATAAATTGCATTGCTCATTATAATAAAAGGCCTACCCACACAATCACCAGGAGAGACAGATGCTTTTATTAGTTGACAAAAAATACGGGTAAGAATGGATGACGCCATCCATGCCAAAGAGTCTGTAACATTTACGAGAAATTGGATCAAAAACTTGCATCCACTCTGGTGGTGATGGAAAAAGAAGAGAATGGTCAGTTCAAAGGTGCCTAGACCTATATGGTTGAAAATCTAACCGCCTGGATGTGCTCAGGAGAAGGATAACTATTCCTGAGGCAGAAATCCGGAGAACTTTCTCTTGTTCCCACAGAAAGCCACTGTTTAAGGAGATAAACATCATCCATAAAAATACCTTAGAGTCAACAGGGCCCAGGAGAACCCACTGCTTTCCGGTGAGCCTTCAAAATAGGTCACAGGTTAAAGGATGATACGGTGCTCTGGGGGTGTCGTGGTTACAAGTTGGGCTACTAACCAGAAGGTCAGACAGCAGTTAGAAACTACCTGCTGCTCCTTGGGAGAAAGATGAGGCTTTCTACTCCTTAAAGAGTTAATATGGCCAAAGTACGTAAGACTTTGGTAAAGTGGAGGGGCAGCAAAAAAGAGGAAGGCTTTCAACACATTGGCTGCAACAGTGGGCTCAAACATAGGAACAATCAATAGTGAGCATGGCACAGGACAATGCGGTATTTGTTCTACTGTGTAGAGGATGCTATGGGTAGGAACCCACTAGATGGCACCTAACCACAAAGAGTTCAAGTCTTGGAAACTCACAGAAGTAGTTCTACCATGTCCTCTAGGGTTGCTGTGAGTCGGAATTGACTCAGTGGCAGTCTTTTTTTTTTAATGGGGCCAAAGCCAAGCAAGTCTACAGGGACCAATACAGTGTAGTCCAAGCACACTGCAAATACACAGCTAACACTTACGTGGCATTAACATGATGATAGACACTGTTCACTCAACTTTACAGGTATTAACTCATTTAATCCTTCCCACAACCCAAGGAAATGAACATTATTTCAATTTTCACTTTGCAGATAAAGTGACTGAGGCACAAAGTACATGAACAAGACATAATTCATAATTTGCCTGTTATTCAGTGGCAAATTAAAAAGCTTTCTGTTGTCATAATTTCACTGAGGGCAGGCCAATTTCAAGCTTCATTTATTCTATATTCTGGGATTGTATACTCATGAGAGAATTCACTTAGAGCTTTGCTGCTGAAAAAAAGAAAGTCGGAAATATGGCTTGAACCCAAATGCTTATTCATAGAAGAGTGGCTAAATGTACTATGGTTCATGTATACTAAGGGAAAGGACGCATGCTAAAACATGAGGTAGGTATGTATGTACGATCACAGAAATATAGGACATATTCAATGATTTAAAAGGGCAGGATGCAAAACGGCCACACAGTGTGTTATCTGAAAACAATACTACCTAATTCCATAAGTATCTACATATTATGAAAATAAAATGTAAACGTATCTGGAAGGTTACATAGCAACAATAAAACCCTTCACAGCGCTCTCCTCTGGGGAAGAAGCATAACTATTCCTGAACCTATGGGAATTTGGGGGTGGGATGCTTAATCAAGGCACACTTTTACTTCAACCATAATTTTGTTTCTTAGGAAACTTACAAAATACATTTCTTTTCTTGAGTAATTAAAATATATTTTAAAAATCTATAAGCACTGAAGAGCAGTGGTCCCTGAATTTTTTACTGTTACCTCCAAGAAA